CATGTGTACAGTATCAGCGAATCAGAAATCTCGCCACATTTTATTAAACCATTGTGTATCTACATTTGTTTGTGTTTTACTGATAAATTTATATAAAAAATTAGATCTGTAGGTTGCTTAAACTCAGTATATCATTCTTTGTTGACATGCATATGTAATTATAGTGCATCATATGCACACTTTGCCTGGTTTTGTCAATATACTTGTATACTTGTATAATGATATGTATGTGACTTGTGTACATTTAGTTTAGTGCTATTTATGCTGGGAATTATTTAAGAACTAATACAATACAGTATGTTTATAATACTAGGTACTAATTTTTATGTTTTTTTAGAGTTTTGATGACCTGCAGACTGGTGACTTCAGAACGCACAGAAGATATCATAGTGGTAGTTCCTATAAGTACCATCCATCAGTGGAAGAAATCCCAGTTGATGGTGTTGTACCAACAAAGATGGCAGAGGCTAGCAGGTACACTTGTGCACTTGATATACTATAAATAAGTATTCACTAATTCATTTAATTTTGCTATTTTCGCTGACAAGTACGTGAAATTAAGTGTCAGTGAAAATAAATGGTTTTTCAGTAGTTACATATATAGGGAGAATATGAACACAGCCTCCTGAATGAAAACTTGATCTGACTTAGATGTCCTACATTACTGAAACTTTTACTTCTTTTTGCAAGGTATTTTGCCTTAAATAAATAAAATTTAGAACCATATTCTCATTCCCCTCCACTTTCTGAAAATGTGTACAACCATTTTCTCATACACCTCAGCTTCCTGAAAATATGTACAACAATATTCTCATACACCTCAGCTTCATGAAAATATGTACAGTCGTATTCTCGTATATCTCAACTTTCTGAAAATATGTACAACCATATTCTCATACACCACAGCTTCCTGAAAATACATACAATATTCTCATACACCTCAGCTTCCTGAAAATATGTACAGTCGTATTCTCATACACCACAACTTCCTGAAAATATGAACAACAATATTCTCATACACCTTAGCTTCCTGAAAATATGTACAGCCATATTCTCATACACCTCAGCTTCCTGAAAATATGTACGGCCATATTCTCATACACCTCGGCTTCCTGAAAATATGTACAGCCATATTCTCATACACCTCGACTTCCTGAAAATATGTACAGTCATATTCTCATACACCTCGACTTCCTGAAAATATGTACAACCATATTCTTATACACCTCGGCTTCCTGAAAATATGTACAGCCATATTCTTATACACCTCAGCTTCCTGAAAATATGTACAGCCATATTCTCATACACCTCAGCTTCCTGAAAATATGTACAACCATATTCTCATAAACCTCGGCTTCC